CGCAAAGGTGGTAAGAAAGGTTGAATAATGGCCCGAAAGCCATAAGACGACCCTGGCCAAGTGGATGACCTGTGACTGAGTGATTGAAGAGCGAGAGGGGCTGGCGAGGTCAATGGAACTGGAAGAAATGACCAAAGTATGGCCTGTTACGATGCTGTCAGGGCTGTCTCTCTGTCGTGTGGTAGGTCGTGGTGCGGACAGGGGTAATTGAGCCTTGTGCTGGCTTGCTGCGCCTTGCTGCTGGCAGCACGCATGTCGTCTTGTGCAGTGCAATGATGCGACAACTGAAATGGCGGGGAGATAATCCACAACGGAACTGGCCAGTTGACTATGGCGTCACAGAGAGAGACAGAGGCATGAGCACAGCCCGGAGGCCTGTGATCCGTGATCTGTAAGATGTGTCGAGAACCAATCCAACAGACCACTGCCTCTCTTCTTCCGTCTCTCTCACTTCCGAATCAAAGGAGCGATGGTGACGTTTCGTCCGATGATGTTGCGTCTATGTAGGCAACTTGACGTGGCTCCCTGTTGTTCGAGTCACCTTTGTCCAGTTTGCTGGGACTGGTCATTTGCCTGCCGCTATTGAAGAGGAAGAAGAAGCTTTCTCACGACATAGGAAGCCCGGGTCCGCCAAGCCAGTCAGGACAGGACAGATGGGCCTTCATGTCTGTCTCCGGCTCGTTGCAATGTATTGCATCGCGTCTGCTGGCATCACTTTGGTATCCTTGACCAGGTCGAGTGAAGTGGACCAGACTCGATCGACGATCATTAGTCTGGCAACGAGACGGAGAGCGGAAGTGATGGATGAGCGGTAGTACACAGCCACAGTGAAGCCTCTAGGGTAAGGCAACGAACAGCCCGAGCCGTTCGGCCCGCAACAACATGAAGTGGTTGGACTCTCGAAGAAGGCACTAACGGGCTCGAGCATGGGTTGGTTGTAGGGCGGGGAGGGATCCTGCCTCCTCCTCTGCCTGCCTTGCCCTGTCCCTCCCATTCACCCACACACGCTGCCACTGTCAGTTGCTGCTCCTGCCTACGGTACCAAAGGTAGCCCACTAGTTCCCGGATGGGCGGCATGAAACAAAGAAACGAACAACAAGCCATTGTATTCTCAGCCGCTGTACCTACATCTTACCTGGCTGGCTAGCTACTACCTAGGTAGGTACATGTACGTGTAGGAAGGCAATGATGGGTACCTAGGTATGGTAGGTAGTTTCTCTACTTGCCTTTGGGCTCTGGTCCTGTTTGCTTTGGGATGCACCTGCTTCCATTGGCACGCATGGATGGGATGGGATGGATGGCTCTGATGAAGGCAAACATGGCCGTTCCTGCCCAAGCTCACCCCCCTTCCTTTTGCTTCCCGAGACCAGGAAGGCAGGCAGGCAGCTACCTTAGAGAAGGTAAACTACCGACATACCTGATATCTTACCTACCTAGGCACAGTACCTTCATTGCAGCATGATGGACGAATAAACTTTTTGTCCACACCACAACCATCGGCAAGATTGTCGTTGACTTATCATTCAGCCGCCTTGCCAGCAGCGACACGGACACACACACGCTCTCTTCATCGTACGACGGATTGCGAGGCATCAAACCAGGGGAAGAAAAAAGGAAAAAAAAAGGAAAAAGGAATCCGGTTCGGCGACGGCCCTAGACGGCCCTATGATACTCCCGACCTATTCTGCCATTCCCACTTCGGTATCTTGTCATCTCCAGCAAGCGACACCATATTCCACTTTCATCCCAGCGAATCTAATTTTCACGGGTCGTATGCTTGGACATTTGAAGATCGACCGCACACCAATCCGGAAGATCACCAACCCACTGTGTCATAAGCGATTCGTTCCCCAGCAACAACTGTGCAGCGTTCCAATCATCCATGGCCGCGCAGCACTGCCTTTCGCCGTGCCTGACTTGTGACCTGCAAATCATCCAAACCAGCATCGCCACAAATTTGAATCCTACCACGCGCGCCGCACCTGACGAACGACCAAGCACGAATCAATCGAGCACGCCAAAACGCTTTGCATTGCTCGACCATGCCGTTCGTGCCAGAAAGCAAAGCAAACCAGCCGAGATCGGCCCCACGTCACCGAAGTTGAATGGTTACCGAAATTCTTTACCGCGACATGAAAGCGGTCACGGGTTCGATGGCGCGTATTCTTCCAGATTGCGGCGCCGGTCAAGCCAGGTCATCGCGCGCCGAGACAATGCGCTGAGGCCAAATCTTTACCACCCAGTCAACCGCCCTGTTTAATCTTGACCACCCTTTGACACCTCCTCCAGGCCCATCCTTGACCCCACGCAATGAATACCTCCATCCTACTAGCCTAACCCATGTCATGAACTGATGTCGTACAGAAATTCTCGACCCAACCCCGGAGACGGCGTCTTTTCCACGAACCACGCCTCGAAACATCAAACACACCGACGCCTTCAACGACCGCCTTCTTTCGCGGAGAAAGAACCCTGCTTTCCCGGGCCCGTGGAGGCGCGTTGCGGGATGAGCTCCCCTTTCCTGCCAGGCCCTTGCTGGTGTCATGCATGACTTTCTTACTCTTCTCACCCACCCCCATGCGAATTTGTCATTCGCCAATACGCAATCAGGGGATCGTGAGTCGCCACCCACCACTTGCGCAGCAGTTTTGTAGTCTCTGGTCTCATCATCCGCATGCCGTCCGCCCTTTCCTGGTTTTGGCTTGCCATGGATGGCGTAGTTCGCCGAATACATTTCGGTGACAGTCGGAAGCTGTCGTCAAGTGACGGACCACTGCTCACCCTATTGTCTACTTCCATGTCGGGGATGCGACTGAACAATGACGCTGGTAAATACGCTTCACAACGCAGAATCCGAGGTGTGCTTCGTTCCCTCTTCGTCTATATAATACATGGACGCTTGCTCTCGCTCTTGCTTGATCAAACGGATATCGTCTACTTGAGAAAAGAACTCCCGGTGCCGTCTCACTGCAAGCACAACTTATCCACGATTTGAACGAGAAGAAGCCTGTCCGCCTTCGACGCTTTCACATCATCCACACCGGCCGCCATGCCTCACTCCGTCCACAACCAGTATGTCTTGCCCCACTGCCATCTGAGCACCATGAAGCTGACCTCGCCGCTCAGGGGATCGCACTACTCGATTGCCACCGCAACCAATGGTGGTAGACGCGACGGTTCTAACAGCTACTCCATTGAGCAGTGGCGACAAGATCAGAACACTCGCGCTGGTTTCTACGTCACCGGCACATCGTCGAGCGGGTCGCACGAACGCGACGCCAGAGAGAACTTGAGGGCATTTGACCAGGCGTGGAGCCACAGCGCCCGCCGCCGTTAAATGCTCTCGATCGCTGGGCCTTGACGCAGGTCCGTTGTCAATGTAATGTTCGGGATACGATGCAGTTGGAATATGGGCGTTTCGATGGTTAGATACCCTGAAGGAGCGCAAGTTACAAGGGCGCCGGAGTTGTTTTGGCTTTTCGGGTTCATCAATTTCAGTCTTGTCATTGTCATTTGCTGGTTTGTTTGTCACTCTTGTCTCGGTGGTGTGTTCCTGTCTGGCCGGTCGTCGGAGGCCGGGGTCAATTGAAACATGCACTTAACCTACACAACGGGCCGCTGTGTGCCACGCATGTATGTA